ACTAATGGGACTAAAGGTAAATAAGTCTCCTGGCCCTGGAATGCATCCCCAGGTATTAAAAGAGATGGTGGGGGAAATAGCAAATGCACTTGTTTTAATTTTCCAAAGTTTGCTGGATTCTGGGGCAGTTCCACCAGATTGGAAAACTGCAAATGTGACGCCATTGTTTAAATAAGGAGATAGACAAAAGGCAGGTAACTTTTGGCTGTTAGCTTAGCTTCTTTAGAGGAGATAATGCTTGAATCTATCTGGACAAAAATTGTCCCACCGGACAGACCAGCATGAAAGGCAGATCTTGTTTAACTTGTTTACTGGAATTCTTTGAGAATATTACAAGTGCAGTGGACAACAGGGAAATGATGGATGTGGTGTATCTGGATTTCCAGAAGGCATTCGACAAGGTGCTGCAAAAAAGGCTGCTGTATAAGATAATGGTGCACAGTGTTACTGATAATGTATTAACATGGATAGAAGATTGGTTAACAGAAAGCAAAGACTGGGGATAAATGGGGATTTTTCTGGTTGATGATAAGTGGCTAGTGGTGTACCTCAGGCATCACTGTTGGGACTGTAATTGTTTATAATTCACATAGGTGATTTAGAGTTGGGGACCAAGTGTAGTGTATCAAAGTTTACAGATGACACTAAGATGAGTGGTGGAGCAAGGTGTACAGAGGATACTGAAAGTCTGCAGAGGGATATAGATAGGTTGACTGGGCGAGGGTCTGGCAGATGGAGTACAATGTTGGTAAATGTGAATAACAAAACAAACCTATTACCTTTGATCAGGGTTTCAGTTACACCCATTTTTGCTTCATCTCACCTCCTTTTGATTCAGTGACCAATTTTTAGATGTGGTTTTAGATCATTTCTAACCAACCCGTTCAGAGATGTTGTTACACACCAGGTGGAACTTGAATATCAACCTCCTGGTTCAGAGGTAATGGTAGAGATGGTTCTATTGTAAATAAAACCAAGCAAAATTAAGAATTATTAGAGCCTTAGGCACCAGGTACACATCCCTCCTCCCTCTTCCCATCTGTTGAAACCTACCACAAGCTGAGTTATTGCGCTGCACTGCTGGGATTCACAGACCTTGGAAGGTGGTTCCATGTTTCAGTGGAATTAGGACAGAGAGACTGCGTCCTGGGGTTGACAACAATGAAGATAGGTAACTGCACCTCCTCCACAAAAAAACTCAACACTAGAGACCCCAAGGATACGTCCTCAGCCCCATATTGTACTCCCTGTACACCCATGACTGTGTTGCCAAATTCCAAATGAATGCCATCTACAAGTTTGCTGACGACACCACCATAGTGAGACGGATATCTAATTGTGACAAGTCAAAATACAGAAGGGAGACAGATGGCTTGGTGACATGGTGCAATGAAAACAATCTTTCTCTCAATGTCAGGAAATCTAAAAAACTGATCATTGACTTCAGAAAGAAAGGAGAACACACCTCCATCTGCAGCAACAGAACTGAGGTTGAGAGGTGGAGATAACCAAGTTCCTTGGAGTGATGATAACCAACAACCTGTCCTGGACTGCCCACATAGATGCGACAGTCAAGAAGACACAACATCGCCTGTTCTTCCTTAGACGGCCATTATTAGATTGATGAATGGACTCTCTAGCCTCAAATAAAGATTGATCTTGCTAATGTTGATCTTGCCTAGTGCGCACCCTGTGCAATGTAACCTGTACATCTGTCTAAGTCATTTTGATCTGTACATGCTTGCTTACTATGATCTGCCTGTGCTACTCGTAAACAAAGCTTTTCACTGTACTTCGGCACACATGTCAATCAATCAAACAAGCTGCATATTCAACATAGTTGCTGTGAGTGGGTTGTTTTAATGTGCCCCAGGATACTAATTCCTGTCTATAGTAGGTAGAGCCAGAATTACTTGTACTAGTAGTTCTGAGTTTGAAAAATCACTGTTGAAGGAATGGGAGAAGATTGAGATAAAAAACGGTAGAATTCAGTAGTATACTTTTGGATTGATGTAGGAAGAGGCTCATATCTAATGAGGGATAGAGAAATCGGTTTTAATCGGTTTTAACCAAGTCGCAGAGGAGGAAGAGTGCCATTTGGCTGGACAGTGTAAGAGCACCAAGTGGAGTTCCCCTCATCCATCACTCTTGTCATTCGCGTACCTGCGTTAAGTCTTCATCCCCAACATGATAAGTTTAAATTTCTGTCCTTGTCTTTAAATTCTGGACCCCATGATCTTGGTAAATTCTGGACCCCATGATCTTGATTACCCTATCACTGCAACCTCCTACATCCATACCCATTCCCAAACCGTCACTTCCTTCTATTTTAACCAATAGTCACTGTATCTAATCTTGGCTTCCTCTATCTGATCGCAAAGCGTCTTGCAGAGATGCTTTACCTTAAAAATGCAATTTGACTGCAGGTTGTTGAAGGTGAGGAACACCACAATACACAGTTTAAATGTAATGATATCAACTCTGGTTAGATATGTTGCTGGAAACATCATTATATGACTCCTGCCTGACAATTTTCCATCTTCCCAGTGCACAGTCTTCAAACATCAATTGAAAACTAGGCAGATTCTTCATTGCCCAAATTGGATTGCTGTTGACTCTTAGTTAAACAGCTTCATTCACCGCACCAATATATTCTGATTTAGTGCCAATTTTTATGTAAGAACTAAAAGAACTGTGGATGCTTTAAATCAGAAACAAAGCGAAGTTGCTGGAAAAGCTCAGCAGGTCTGACAGTACCTGTGAAGAGAAATCAGAGTTAATGTTTCACGTTCCGGTGACCCTTCCTCAGATGATTTCTGTTTAATTTTTATATAACAGCTTCACACATTTCCAGCTAATTGGCCACCTTATCCTTGGCACCTTTTATTCAAGGTGGAGAACTTTCTGCTTCTTCCTCAAAGATTATATATAAGATTGCGACAGATTTATTTAACAAGCTTGAGCAGCAATGTGCTTCTACACTTTTAGCACTGCAGGAAGAAACTGTTTAAAAGGTGTATTCCACCTTAGATCTCTCTGAAGACTGTTTTTGTTGTTAAACAATCTAAATAAAGTTCCAAAGAATTCTTCTTAGCCCATGCTAACCATTAAAGGACTTTTCCCATACTTTCAGCAGCAATAACCTTCACCACCTTAGATGCAAAGGATGTTTACAAGTATCAAAGCTGCATGAAAGGATCAGCTTTCTATCTACATTCGGGAGATACAGATGTTTGCTAATGCTTTTACTGTTTCCATGGCTCCAAAGGCGTATCAACGCAGACAACATGAGATTGTTAGTGATCTTCCCTGAGTGGAAGTTGTAATGGATTATCTACTAGTTTATGGATGCAGAGACACATTAGAAGAAGTCACCACTGACTACAATCAAAATCTGGTGGAACTAGAACCTTAACTTTATAATATCATGAGGGATATGGTGAATAGCCAAGGTCTTTTTTCTCGGGAGGGGTAGTCCAAAACCAAATGACATATGTTTAAAGTGAGAGGGGAAAGATTTAAAAAGGACCTGACGAATAACTTTTTCATGCAGAGGATAGTGTGTGTATGGAATGGGCTGCCAGAGGAAATGAGGGAGGCTGGTACAATTACAACATTTAAAAAGCATCTGGATGGGTGCATATGAATAGGAAGGGTTTAGAGGGTTATGGGCCAAATGCTGGCAAATGGGACTAGATTAATTTGGGATATCTGGTCAGTAAGGATGAGATGGACTGAAGGGTCTGTTTCCATGCTGTAGATCTCAGTGACTCAATGTCTAAATCATCTTGAAGCCTCTTTACATCCTGCTCACAACTCATTCTCAGCCATTTTTGTGTCAACAGCAAATTTGTAAGTGCTGCACTTGGTTCCCTCATTCAGGCTGTTTACATATGGGGCCGAAACACTGATCCTTGCAAGACCCCTCTAGTAACTGTCTGCCACTTGGAAAAAGACCTATTTATTCCCATTGATAAGATAATCAGAATCTGGCAGAAAGAGATAGTGCATGCAAACTCAAGAGTGTGCCAGCAGATAAGGCTAGACATTGCACAAATGGTAAAAAGACTAAACTGAAGGTTCTCTATCTAAATATGCACAGTATTCAGTTCTCTGAGCCCAGCTTTGATTGGCAGCTAATCTGCACTGAAGGGATTCTATGATTCATTGCAAAATGGATGAATTTTCAGCACAAATAGAGATAAATATCTATGACTTTGTCATTGTAGACACATGGCTGAAAGATAACAAACTCTGGGGCCTGAATATTCCAGGGTACATGTCACTTTGGAAGCTAGGAAGAAGTGGAGAGGTAGCTCTGTTAATTAAGATGCTGTTAGTATAACATAAAGGACCTAAGTTCTGAAGATCAAGTTGGAGCATCACTTTGGGTGGAGATAATTAATAACAAAACTGAGAATTAAGTCACATGTGAGTAGTAAACCTAATTTTTCTTTCAGTGCATAAATGTCTAAGGTTTATGTACAGTGGCAACTAAGATAATACTCTTATTGAAATTCATAAGGTCCTGAGGGTATCTGACGGGATGGTTGCTGAGAGAACCTGACATGACCATGGACTAGGAAATACAGTTTAATTCTGACGTTAATGTGTAGTTAGGAATTTTATTTGGCTCAGATGATCATGACTCTACACATTTTTAATAAAAACCTCAAGAACTGTATATGCTGTAAATCAGACAAAAATAGAAATTGCTGGTAAAGCTCAGCAGGTCTGACAGCATCTGTGGAGAGAAATCACGAGTTAATGTTTCCGCTCGACTCAAGCTCTGATTTCTGTCCAGATGCTGCCAGACCTGCTGAGCTGTTCCAGCAATTTCTACTTTTGACACTGTCTGTAGATGTTCAGGGAGCAGCCAAGATACAGAACACCAAAAACTTGCTGAGCATCTGCAGCATCTCATCAGCGCAGTTGTTTTCGAAGGTGCAGTAGCCAATCGGCTATCCACGGTGAGACCAGAGCAAATGATTGGCGGGTCTCGGCGGGAAGTGAATACATCGCTGCGGAACATGGCTGCTAAGCGTGGAGCTCTAGTGGTGTTGGAGGGAATAGATCGATCCGGGAAAAGCACCCAGTGCAGGAAGCTACAACAGGCTCTGCGGGCGGAGGGCTATGCCACGGAGGTCTTGCAATTCCCGGGTAAGCGTCCTTGCACCATGTCCTCCCTCCCATGTTGTCGATTTAGAGCGTATTGGCGCTGCTCCTGCCTCATCTGTCCCTGCCTGCTGTTTCAGACAGAAGCACCGAAATCGGCGGCCTGATCAGCTCCTACCTGGAGAAGACGAGTAATATCGAGGATCACACTGTGCATCTGCTGTTTGCTGCCAACAGATGGGAACGAATGTAAAGTTCGACACAGAATGAATGCTTTCTGTGTGTGTCTGTACGTGGAAGGAGGGAGGGGTTTGAACATAGATTGGCTAAAAATACCCACTTAGAGCAATGATGCATCCTGTTCCTGTTGTTATGCACCAGACTCCCTCAAGAAGATAGTCTAGACCCTAACTTATTATTTTAAAGGTAGATGAGAAGTATCATGTTCCAGGTGTGATATAATCAAAATATAATCAAAAGGCAGAAGAATTTAGAATAACTTAATTATTGGAAAACTTAACTGAATAATAGATACAGTAATTAACTATTACTAATGATTGCTAATCAACTGGTCCAGTGTAGTAACATCCCATAAACACACCCCTTGGCAAAGAGGCAAATTCAGACAACGGTTCTTACCTGCAGCTCTCCAATCCAGGAGGGAAAGAGAAAGAGAAGGTTCATAGAGAATAGCAGCTAGGAGTCATTCACTGAAGCTCCTGACTCTTTTGAGACATCAAGGCTTCTGCTGCTTAATGCTTTTTAAAAAAAACACTAGAAAGCCTGGTCTGTGAGAGCTGGCCACATCCGGGTGCTTCCATTGTTCCAACATTTCTAAAAAAAAACCCAAGGCCTCACACGTTGTTTTCTTATGTCATGTTTAGTAGCCAGTTCAGTACCTCTACCTTACAACATCTCTTTTAAAAGAAAACCAGCACAAAATAACCTTTCAAAGTGACAGCATCATCACACCACTTCCTCAAAAAAGCCCATCAATGTACAAAGATGGTTTCATTTTTAAAACCCTTAATTTTACTCCATTAGTACATTATGGTACATATACATTGCATGGACTGTAAGCATCCAAACATTCACTACCACATTTGTAGGGTTCTGGCTTGTAATCAGTAATTCGCTAAATTTAGCTGGTTTGAATTACCCCAGATCCCTGGTTCTAGACACTGGACATATTTAGGGAAGATTAAATGAAGAAGGCAGTAGAGGTGTTCCAGGGCAGAAGAATTTCTGCGTTTACTTACAATGCAAAAAGGTAACTATAATATAAGAAATAAAGGTAAATGCAATTAACAGTGAAATTAACACAATGAATTATACAGAGGACAATAATACGATGAAATATACTATTAGCTAGATTAAACACTATTAGTACTTGAAACAGAATTGTTAAAAGGCTGACTGGATGTTTCTTAGCTACTCCTGCACTTTAACTTGCTTCCCCAGTTGGCTGGTCTCCTCCTTTATGGCCTGTTCACTACTCTTGGCTTCTGTGACCTGATACTGCAGATAATCTATCCGGTTTCTGTATCTTTCCTCTGTTTGCAACCTTCCTTGCTTTTCCTGCTGCAGGTCCATGTAAAGCATTTCTCCTGCCCTGGTCCTCATGCTAGAGCCCTCCTCTGCCTCCCTTACCTCTGCCTTCAGTTCCCGGACTTTCCTGTCCAGTGCCTGGACCTGTCAGTGAAGGCAGAGGAACCAGATTGCATTCTGTATGGAGCGCTTATGCTCCTTGCTGTCAGTCCACTGGACTGCTGCTTCCGTGGACGCTCAGTTTCCGAGAGATCAAGGACCCATTTCTTTGATATATTTACCTTTTTAAACATATAAGAGGAGATCGTTTCCTCTATCAGAGACTTTGCTTCTGAAATGCCCTCTACTACATCACATTCCTTCTGTCAGTGTAGTAGATCTATTGGGTAAATACTTGGTTTTCCTTACTTACTTGTGGATTTTCCGGCCTGGTGTTCACCTCAGAATGTGTCTGAGGCCTTGTGGTGTCAGTTGGGTCAGTGGTTTTGGAGTTTGTCAGTTCTTTGATCTGTGGGTCATGGTTAGTTATCATTGGTTCCCTTGGTTCAGAACAGACCTGAGTCAGTAGCTCTTGGAATTGCTCCCTGGGATAGCTCCTTCAGGTGAGGTTAGGACCTGCAATTATACTGATTATGGGCCCCTTCCTGCCAACTCTGTGCTTGCCATTGTATTATTGGTGTTCCATTTAAAATCAGTAGGTTTCCTGATCATTACAAGTATGTGTGAATGGATTTTGATTGAAGTTGAATGTTCGGTACCTCTGTAGGCCCCATGCTATCTTAAAACCAAAAGAACTGCGGATGCTGTAAATCAGGAACAAAAACAGAAGTTGCAGGAAAAGCTCAGCAAGTCTGGCATCATCTGTGAAGAAAAACCAGGGTTAACGTTTCGGGTCCAGTGACCCTTCCTCAGAACTGTTTTTGTTCCCATACTGTCTGTGCTGGGTAGCCAGAGGTGTAAAAGTTCGTGTCGGTCCAGAGTGTTAGGTTTGGTTGATTGTTCTTTTAGAGTGAAGGTGTAAATTGGAATTCCAGGCTGAACAATAGCGCCAGATGGTATTGTCCAGTATTTTAGATATTGGAAAAGTCCAGGATCTTGCCCAGTATTTTAAATGATGGGGATTTTTGCTCAATCCTACATATCGCCCCCTCCCCCACTTTGATACTCTACACCCTAGAGTATCACTCTGGGTAAGTAAAACCCGTCGAGACTCAAAACCCAACTCTGCAAATTACCTAAACCTACATTCACATTTCCTTTCTTGAGGGAGAGTGCATTGTCCGCCGGAAGGGAAAACACAAGGCACAATTAGGGAAAGTCAAAACGTACAGGTATACAGTACACAGTTCACGAACATGACACTAGATTCAAACCTTAAATATGTTTTACACAGTTTGTCTTTCTATAGGAAAACAAGGTACACCCCATCAAAGGTCCCCCCCAGGAACACAGTTTTCACACTCGTTACACCTCTGGCCCATTGTATACTCTGTGGTGTTGGGATCTGTGGGCTCAATACCATGCTCTACAACTGATTGCTCTTGGGTTAGAGTCAGAGATGTACAGCATGGAAACAGACCCTTCAGTCCAACTCGTCCATGCCGACCAGATATCCTAGATTAATCTAGTCCCATTTGTCAGCATTTGGCCCATATCCCTCTAAACCCTTCCTATTCATATACCCATCCAGATGCCTTTTCCAAAACAATGCAGCAGCTTATAAAATAGTAATTACTGGTCCAACACTGAAAATACCTCAAGAAAAAAGGATCAGCCAAGACTCCCTCAGGCCAGACCAGCTGGCCTGTAGTCTGGGACTCAGGAGGGACCATGTCAAGGAAAGAGGGAGCACTGCAGAGAACCTTTCAAACCTGAAGGCTGAGGACGCCGTGGTATTGGTCACCCAGAGGCCTAGCACATTTTAGACTGGAGATAGGTGTCCAGGCTTTTGACTTAAGTCTAAGGTTAGGTTAGAGGTATACATAGTGCTATGATGATGGGCTAATGTGGAAATTTAATAATGTGCAGCCCAGCCCAAGTACCACTGAAGGGCGACGCTGTGTTTGTGTTCTGTGTCAGCAGGAAAGGACAGTCAGATTGACAAGGTTTTCACTGCTAGATTGCTCTAACAAGAGGGGAAAATGGCCAACCCTCAGGGGTAACAGGGATATTTCACTAGATAAATGTTCTGTCACCTCCAGGGGACCAGGGAATGTTCTGGTACTCTATGGGCAGCCATGTGGGGCAGTGGCCATACCCCATGGCCTCCATTACACTAAAGTTTAAACTGAAAATTCACTTACCCAAATGTTGCTGTTGGCTGAGAGGGCCTTGTACAGCCCCCTGTCCAGGGGAAACATCAGCAACTTGGCCTGCATCAGCACAGCCATTTATTTCTCCTGATTGTTCCACTTCCATCAAGTCTACAGATGGGCCCCCTTTATGCATGAGCTTGTCCAGGTGTACCACCATAGCCCTGAGCTGCTGTGTTCTGTATGGGGACACCAAACAACTCTCTAAATCCCCCTGCTCCTGACCGTCCCGGGGCGCGCCATTCTTGTGCTGCCATACCAGGCGCAGGCCCTAGCCCTGACCCTTCCTGTACTGGCCTGCATCCCCATCTACCTGCTACCGACTGGGCCAGCTTCCAGTGCCACAGATACTGGTTGGACCTCCACCTGCTGCCTACCTGGGCCTGATCCGGGTGCCTCAGCTGGCGATCCCCCCCCCATCCCCCCGTCTGCCCGCTATCCCTGCTGCCGTACCAGGCCTCCCCTTAGCACCACAGGTCACTGAGCATCCCTGACTGTCCTACAGTCCATTCCCACTTGGCCCCTTGCTCTTCCCTGCCTGCCTGGGCCGCACCTGAGCTTATCAGGCAAACCTTGCCTCTGGCCTGGGACAGAGCTAGGCTCACTTACAGATCTGCTCCTGGCAGGGGCTGTGCTCTCCCCTCTTATACCCTTTGCTGCAGACTGCCTTGAAGTCCCTTAGCTTCTCCTGCACTTTAACTTGCTTCATTAGCTGGCTGTTCTCCTCTCTTAGGGCCTGTTCACCACTCTTGGCTTCTGTGACCTGATACTGCAGATAATCTATCCAGTTTCTGTATCTTTCCTCTGTTTGCCACCTCACTTGCCTTTCTCACTGCGCATCTGTGTGAAGCATCTCTCCTGTCCTGGTCCTCATGCTAGAGCCCTCCTCTGCCTCCCTTAGCTCTGCCTTCAGTTCTCTGACTTTCCTGTCCAGTGCCTAGACCTGTCAGTGAAGGCAGAAGAGGCAGATTGCCTTCTCTATGGAGCGCTATGCTCTTTGTTGTCAGTCCACTGGGCTGCTGCTTCTTGTGAATGCTCAGCTCGGAAGTGATCCAGGACAAATTTCTTTGATATATTTACCGTTTTAAACACATAGGAGGAGATCCTCTCCTCCATCAGAGACTTTGCTTCTGAAACGCCCTCTACTACATTACATTCCTTCTGCCAATGTCTTGCTGCAGTTGCCATTCTGTAGGGTTCTGTTTTGCAGTCAGTTGTTTTCTGATTTTTAAGTAGTTCGAATCACCCTCAGATCCCTGGTTCTAGACACTGGACTTATTTAGGGAATGTAAAATGAAGAAGGCAGTAGACAGGTGTTTCAGGACAAAAGAATCTCTGCATTTACTTAAATAAAAAGGTAGGTATAATACAAGAAATGCAGGTAAATGC